GATCGCTATTTTTTCAGGATCTCTTTTGGGGCGCGCCCCTTCTCTTGGGTGAAAACCCCCGCTCTTACAGCCAAGTAAAAATAGTTTTTCGCGGATGCTTGGTCCCCTCGGATCTCCATGATCCCTTCTGGCATGACAAATTTTAATTTTTGGTGATAAGTGAAGTGCACCGCTCCTAGCGCATGCAACCATGCTCATCCCATGATCACATTGTAGGGAGAGTCCGTATCGATCACGATAAACTCCGTATTGATGGTGAAGGTACCCGTGACAACTAGCAACGTGATTTTGCCTATGGGCAAGGCGAACGAGCCGTTAAATCCGACGAGGGGCGTCCTAACCTTGGTAAGGTCCTTGAGGCCAAGGCCCATCCGCTTTAAGGTCTCTGAGTACATCACTTCCAAGGAACTCCTAGAGTCGACCAACACCCTCTTGACGTCAAACCTGCCTATCTTAAGAGTTATGATCAGGGCATCGTTATGGGGAGTCACCACGCCTGCCAAGTCCGCGTCAGAGAACGTGATGTCTGGCTCGCCAATCCTGGTCCTCTTGCTTGGTGGCCCCCCATCACTCTCTGCAGTCTTTCTCGTAAAGGCTACTCTCTTGAGGTCGTACTCAAGTTCCTTGGACGTCGGTCGATCCAGTGGANCTGCCTATCTTAAGAGTTATGATCAGGGCATCGTTATGGGGAGTCACCACGCCTGCCAAGTCCGCGTCAGAGAACGTGATGTCTGGCTCGCCAATCCTGGTCCTCTTGCTTGGTGGCCCCCCATCACTCTCTGCAGTCTTTCTCGTAAAGGCTACTCTCTTAAGGTCGTACTCAAGTTCCTTGGACGTCGGTCGATCCAGTGAACATACATGGATCACGTCTATGACATTGTCATGCTCCACGACCGGGGCAAGACCGCGTCTCTCTTCTGACTTGGGTTCTATGTACTCTTTTAAGTAACCGTCTTGGACCAGCCTTTCCAAGAAAGATTTGTGTACTCTGTAATTTTTGGTGCTATGGAAGAAATTTCGGTGATAGAAACACTTGACCTTTGATCACGGATGGAGGGATCGCTCTGCATCCTGGGTGGCCACTTGAAGAACGGCTCATGCTTGATCTTATGGAGCAACCTGTAGATGGGTTTCTTGAACATAGTGTGAACACCTTTGAATGACCCTCCCGGAAGGGGTACCAGCCCCTTTCGAGAAGTGTCTTTCCGCTCCCTTTCTTTTCTCTTAGGTGGGGGGTTTCTGCCATTGCTGCTCCCCATTTCGTCCTCGATCCTAGAGTACTTGTTTATTCGGGTCATCAACTCGCCCATATCCGAGGGAGTCTTTTTAGTTAGGGATTGGTACAGGTCCGTGTCCCTTGCCAAGCCAAGCCTGAAGGATGCCGCTGCCATGACTTTCGAACACCCCTTTACCTCATTAACCTCTTCCTAGTACCGGATGACGTACTGGCGAATGATTTCGGATTCCCTCCGCCTGAGCGTCAGTAATGATCCAACGTATTTAGGCCGTTTACTCCCTGTAATGAATCGGGCTAGAAACTACCTCGTCAACTCCCTCCATGATCCAATGCTGTTGGGGGGGAGAGCCTCGAACCACTTCATCGCGGAATCTCTCAAGCTCATGGAAAACACTCAGTAGAGGAGTTGTTGATCCGAAGGATACAGGGACATCATTTGCTTGTATTGCCTGAGGTGAGCTTCGGGATCTGATCGCCCATCGTAAGTTTTAAATCTTGTCATGACGAACTTCTTCGGCACCTCCATCTCTCGGATATCCCTGATAAAAGATGATTGCATGGTCACGTCTTCAGCATTATCTCGGACAGCTCTGCCTTTTCTCCTGGATTCCAACTGAGTCTGAGATCAGTTTCTACCCCAAAGGGATGTCTTCTGAGGTTTCCAAGTTTACTGACAGGGCTCCCCTTCTTTGGGAGTCGCGTGGAAAGGGTTGAATCCTCCTCAGACTCGTCCCCCTTCCTCCACCTTGACAATCCTCGTCGGAGGTCGTCCAAGGCTAAAGGCCTTGCCTTCCTGGAATGACCGTCGAGGGGGTGCTCGTTGGCTCTTGGACGTTTTGGGGCCCTAGAGCCTTCAATCTTGTTATTTAAATGATTCCTCAGGTCCTCAGTTTCCGCGTCCCGGGCGGGGAGTCCACGAGAAAGGAACGAGTCCCTCGATCCTTCGCCGGAGGCGGCAAATTCATTGAGTCAGCTTAGGACATTCACATTGTCTTTTTCCAATTGTCGTAGTCGATCCCTAAACTTTTCTTCGATCACCTTCGCTAGTTGACGAGCCAAGGGGGCGGATCCTCCTGACCTAATGCCCATGCTGGTTTGAGGAGGAAGCCCCCTTGACTGAATAGAGACATTTCTGTCGTCATCAGTGTGACTCCTCCCTCCATCATAACGTAGAGCTTGTAACTCGAGACTTCTTTGCTGGGAACCTTTCCCTTTCTGTCAAGTATTCACCATGGTCACAGTTCTTTCTAGAGAAGAAACTAGGAAAATTAGTCGTTTTCCACAGATGGCGCCAGATTGTGCGTGCAAGATCTTGCACAATATAAACATGAGGACAGATCTCTCTCGTGGTGAACACGTATCCGAAATTGGGTGGTTGATTTTGCTAGTTGAACAGGTTATGAGGGTCGAAGGTGGATAATCAATCGTTGGTATGAGTCGCCTGAGTGATCCTGAAAAACTGAAGGGGGTTCCTAGAACAAAGAAAAATAGGTTAGAAGCGCGCCAGAGTATTTTTCGGCGTATCTCTTCTGACGATCAAGTCAGTTCTTCGAGAGAGGGGAAGAAGAGAACACTGTATGAAGGTTGAGAAAGGGTTTATTGCGTACCTCATCATGCATTTTGTGAGGAGTATTTATACCTTAAAAACTCATGATTGCTGTCAGTATGGCTAGTAGGTGATCATTAGAGGTGGATAACGTGCGCACTGATTTTTAGGAAAAATGATGCCTTCCTTAACTACTCGGGACCCTAAGTAACCAATGCATCACCCTCGGTCTGTTGAGCATTTAATGACCTTCACTCGGCAGGGATATCTTAAATGCTCGGTCATAGGAACATTCATTGTCTTTCACTTCCGGGTTTTCACGCATTAAATGTTGTCTCATCAAGGGAAAGATGTATTAAATACTTGTTTTCCCAAGTCGTGTGTCAATAAGGGCATTCTGGTCTTTTTGCCTCTGATCTGACACAGTACGCCACGTGCCAGCTCTCCTTTGGTTGAGCCTTCTGCTTTCCTGTGCGTCATGACACCATTTAGGTAAGACTAGGTCATGATGGCTAATCTAGCCTAGCCCAGGCTGATGACCTGTCTATCAATAGCCCTGCAGGAACAGGAACGCCGATGTAGTGGGTACACATCGGTGCCGAGGGCCTAATACGGTTAGGGCCGATGTACCCACCCATTCGACCGAGGAATACGTGTCGCCCGTGCATACCGGCTTCGTAAATCCTTATGCATAGTACCATCTCGGGGGAAGAGGGATCATGATCCGACGAGCACGTGTCATGATCACGGCAGAGAGCATTTCTTGACACCGAGTACACGTGTCGCTATCTTGGAATGTCTGAAAAGTGTCCCATCAATTCCTAATCAGACAATTTATTCAATTTTTTGACAAACGTGACTACATGTCATCCTTTCTAATGGTATCACGTTATCATTGACCAACACGTGATCATTTCGGTAAAAATTTAACGGTCCGTCTGTATAAGAATCATTTAAATACAAATTAAATATTTTATAGATCAAACTGACAAAATATTTATATTTTAGACACCAAAAATACTATTAACTCTAAAAATTAATAACTTTACTTCGAAAAATTATAAGTTTAATAACTTTTTTAATTATAACTTCTAAGTTAAAAAATTATAAATTTGGGTACGGTTTCAATTGACCGTAATCTTCCTCCAGTCTTTTAAGATGCCAATCAGAAGCTGCACAAAAAACTAGTCTCTGAATACCTTAAAAAGCAAGTACTCAGTACTCATTAGGAGCAGGACAGGCACTTCCTCAGGACCACAAAGAAAAGCATCCAAGTTCCCTTTGTCTACTTACTAAAGGACCAGTTACTCTTCCACACAGACCTTAACCTCCACTCCCTCTCACATATAAGTTGCTGGGGCTCACCATTAGTCATGATATTCAACTCCAGGGTAAAAACTGTAGGTTTCTCTACATTTATTTGGTCAAATGTACACCAATAAGGGTAAGTCGAGCTTGTGGTCTAGTGGGTAGATTCAAACATTTAATGTCCAGGTCGTTACAAGTGACATTTAAAACTGGATAGAATCGTAAACAGTCCAAGAATCCAACGGTAGAGGCATAAGTCTACGAATGACGATTCTGGAGACAATGTGCAAATCCAACAAGAACTCGATTGACATAAGGTTAGCTTATTTAAATTTAGTCTTGGGGGGTTTGAATGATAAACCAATGCATTTGTTAGACTTGCTAAAGACGAGATGAATTAGGCTATAAATGTAACACAAACTCAATTATATACAATTATAAATGAGTTGGGTATAGATTAATCAAATTTTAGCAAGGCACGACGTGAACTATTGAAACTCTTACATGACCCGTATTTTGGGCCGATGACAGCCCAGCCCAGCCCATCGGCCCATCAAAATTCAAAAAAATTGAAAAGGACAATAAGACATGAACTTTTGAAACTCTTACATGAGCTGCACATCGGCCTGATGGTGGAAGAGCCCAGCCCATCGGCCCGTGAAAAATCATTAAATTGATGGAATTAAAAATATAAAAATAGACCATTGGATTGTTCAGATAAGTAATCAGGTTCTTTTTTGGGTAGCTCGGCCAGGCACATTAATGGCCCAACAACCGCAGCCCAATCTATGGGCCAGGACGGTTGACTAGAGAGCCGGAAAAGCCAGGCCCCATCCGGTGACGAGGCCTGCCCATGTATCTGGTATATAACCGAAAAGGGCCGAAACTACATCCTCCTCGCTCCTCTCAGTTTCATGGTGTTAGGAGGAAGAATGAAGCTCTGAAAATGTCACATGAATGTATGAAGTATGTATCTATTGATTGACCCTTCACATATACAAGCAACGAGGCTCATGATGATGAGATTGTTCTCATCCAAGAAGCTCCTTATACTGAAAGATAGATCTATAGTCAGCAAATCAAGAAAAGTTTCTCTCAAATCCAAACACTTTTATAGCTCTCGAACCACAAAAGAAAGCGAAGACACAGCTAGGGAAATCGGAATCATTCTCAAGCACAATAATTGGAAAGTGCTCTTGGAGGCATCAAATATTCCCAACAACCTAAACCCAGATGTGGTTCGCTATGTTCTTCACCAAAACCAAATGGGTGATCCCAAACGCCTCCTTCATTTCTTCAACTGGTCGGGCCACCACTTAGGTACACCTCAGAACTTGCATTCTTTCTCAATTCTTGCTTTGATTCTTTGTAATTCGAATCTTTTTCCACATGCCAATGGTGTATTAGAGAGAATGATCGAAACGCGTATTCCAATTTCAGCTGTGTTAGATTCAATTTTTGGTTGTTTTAGTGAATGCAGTGGGTCTAAATCAAAGTCCGTTGTCTTTGATATGTTGATAAATGCTTACAAGAAAAAGGGTATGTTGAATGAGGCTGTTTCTGTATTATTAGCTGCCAAGACTGGTGATTTTTTACCCAGTTTGGTGTGTTGTAATTCTTTACTGAAGGACTTGTTGAAGTGCAATAATCTGGAGTTGTTTTGGAAGGTGTATAAGGGAATGTTGGAAGCTAAAATAGTTCCTGATGTCTATACTTATACTAATGTGATTATGGCTCATTGTAAAGCTGGGAATGTCAAAGAAGGTAAAGGGGTCCTTTTTGAAATGGAAAACAAAGGATGTAATCCGAATTTGGTTACTTATAATGTTGTTATTAGAGGGTTATGCAGGGCTGGGCTTGTTGATGAAGTTTTTCAGCTACAGAAATCAATGGCTCAGAAGGGCTTGGTCCCGGATTGCTATACTTACACCATACTAATAGATGGGTTATGCAAACAGAAGAGATCAAGGGAGGCAAAATTAATTTTGGAAGAGATGTCTAATGCCAGTCTGAATTTTGATCATGTTGCTTATACTGCTTTGATTGATGGGTTCATGAAAGAGGGTGACGTAGAAGAGGCTTTTAAAATCAAGGATGAAATGGTAGCTCGTGGAATTGAGTTAAATCTCGTGACATATAATTCTATCATAAATGGACTATGTAAAGTGGGTCAGATGGAGAAGGCAAAAGATCTAATGAATGAGATGATTGCCATGGGCACAATACCTGATTCCCGGACTTATGTTTCCTTGATCAAGGGGTATATTCGAGAGCTTGATATGGTTAAAGCTTGTGATGTGCTGGTTGAGATGAAGGGAAGAAATTTGACACCTTCTGTGTATACTTTCGGTGTGATAATTAATGGTTTATGCCGTTCTGGAGATCTCCAACAGGCAAATTTTGTTTTAGAGAAAATGATAGCAGGAGGTATTAAACCAAACAATGTTATCTACACAACCCTTATCAAAGGTTACGCCCAAGCCGGTAAATTTGATGTGGTGATTCAAATTTTGAAGGAAATGAAGGAGAATGACATTTTGCCTGACGTCTTCTGCTATAATTCTCTTATAATTGGGCTCTGCAAAGCTAAAATGATGGACGAAGCCAGGACATATCTAATCGAAATGGTAAAGGAGGGATTAAAACCAAATGCATATACTTACGGGACTTTCGTTTCTGCGTATAGCAACGCAGGGGAAATGCAGGTCGCAGACAAGTATTTCAGGGAGATGGTTGGTTGTGGCATAGAGCCAATGAATTTCATTTATACAGCCCTGATGGATGGGCACTGCAAGCAGGGGAACATAACAGAAGCCTTCTCAATTTTCAGATCTATCCTTGGTCGAGGATTACGCCTTGATGTGCAAATTTACAGTGTCCTCATTCATGGTCTCTCGAAAAATGGGAAACTGCAGGAAGCAATGGAACTTTTTTCTGAACTTCATGAAAAGGGTTTGGTTCCTGATGTTTTCACTTACAGCTCTCTAATTTCTGGCTTCTGTAAGCAAGGCAATATTAAAGAGGCTTTCCAACTTCATGATCAAATGTGTCAGAAAGGTATCAACCCCAACATTGTCACTTATAATGCTTTGATAGATGGACTGTGCAAGTCTGGTGAGATTAAGAGAGCTAGGGAACTGTTTGATGGAATCTCCGGAAGCGGTTTGGCTCTCAATTGCGTGTCTTATGCTACAATCATAAATGGATACTGCAAAAGCAAAAATTTAGCTGAGGCATTTCTTTTATTGGATGAAATGCCATCAATGGGGGTTGCACCAGATTGTTTTGTGTACAACACCCTCATCAATGGTTGTTGCAAAGAAGGAAACACAGAGAAGGCTTTGTCCTTATTTCATGAAACAGCGCAGAGAGGCTTTGCATCTACGCGTACTTTCAACACTTTGATTGATGGGTTCTGCAAGTCAGGGAAAATGATTGAAGCGTGTGAATTGGTGAAAGACATGGTCAGTAAGAAAATTGTGCCTGATAATGTCACCTTTACAATTTTAATAGACCATCACTGCAAGTTGGGGATGTTGAAAGAAGCAGAACAGCTTTTTCTGGAGATGCAAAAGAGGAATTTGATGCCGACTATTGTAACTTACACCTCGCTTTTACATGGGTACATCACAAAAGGGGAAAGATCCAAGATGTTTTCTCTTTTTGAGGAGATGGTGGCAAGGGGTATTGAGCCTGATGATGTAGTCTGCAGTATGATGGTTGGCGCTGACTGCAAAGAACGCAGTTTGGGAACAGCTGTTTAGCTGTGGGATTTAGTATTGACAGGGGTGTCTCAAGCTGAAATCATTATAAAGCAATAGCAAATGTCCAGAGTAAAAGGCAAATTTTCCAAAGCGATGGCATTGCTTGATAAAATGGGACAGTAAGGATTTATGCTTCGCATTGTTACAAGCAGCAATCTGGTCAATGGGTTGTACAAAGCAGGGTACGAGGAAAAAGTAGCTGGCGTTCTGAAAATCGTGGTGAGGTTTGGGTGGGTTCTAAACTCCCGAAGATTATGTCACTTAATTAATCAACATCAAAAGGATGCAATTCTGAGAACGTTATCACTCTCTTAAAGGAGGGAGCCATAAAAGTTACTTACCAGGTGCAAACCTAGCTCAAGAACAGAATGGCACTTGCTTCACCCTGACACTGATTTCTACCCGTGGCTTGATGAAATCAAATTCTTCAGCTTGCTGGAGCAAGGTCCTAAAATGAACTGAAATGAGATTACCAAGCTATGACAACAGCCACGGCTCCGTACCTTGCAATGGCGTGCCAGGTGCCGTGGATCAATGCTAAAAAAGGTAACCAGGGCTGATTAATTTGGACTTTGATTGTACAGGAAAAACATCATTGACATGTTTCTCCAGGGAATGTTTGTGTTGCCCGCGTCCTGGGTTGGGTTGTCGCAGGTGGGAGGTGGAGGGGTGGGTCTTGAAAATTAACCACTCCAATGTGTTCTATGTAGTCATTGGAATGCATACATTTTGCTTGAAGTTGTACCGGAAATATATGAATTTTGCTCATGTTGATTCAATGATAACATGAAATTGTATATAATTTTTGGCTTTCAGTTCTACCAACCTCAAGTAACTTCACTTTTAAGGATAGTGTTTGCCTTCTAATTTTATCCCGAGAGAATGTATAAAATTTTTATTTTGAGTAGTGTCGTCCGTATTTCTTTACCACTAAGAAGGCAAAGGATTGATTTGGACAGATCCGTGTCATTGGGTGGCATGTTTGGTCCTTGACAGGTTGGTTAGGTCAATAATATTCTGAAATGATAATAAAATTGACAGGGTCAATATATAATTCCCATGTCTATATTTGGCTCGTCATTGTTTGTATTATAGTTTTCTGGTCACGTCTTATGAAATTAAATGATCAAAAGGATACCGAAGTGGTAGCTTAGTTGGCTTCAACAGTCCTCCAGTGGTCATGGGTTCGAATTCGTTTACGGTATTAGTCCTTGTGAACAAGATATTGTTTGTCCTCGATGGTATTGTGGTGACGGGTTCGACTATCCAAGTTAGTAGTTATGACTCAAACTGATCATTATATAACTCGTGAAAACTTCAATTAACGTCCCGAGAGTTGCTACATCTGGTGGTTCTTGACTATCCTTTCACCTAGCCAAAAAAAAAATGATCCAGAAGGAAAAAATGGGTGGGTTTTGGCCTTCAAATTAATTATTTATAAATCAAAAATTGTATCATGTTTATGTATTTGTCTCCAAAATAAATGAGAATAATAGACGGTACAGTGTACGAGACTCTATTGCATAATGGAGATCGGATGTACACAGTGAATCATCTTTTCAGCTCCATCACATTACCTACCAGTTACACACATTTTGATAGCCATGATCAAAGTGAAAAGCTTCATCAAACCAAAATAAGTGAGACTAAATTAAAAGCACAAAGAACCCTGCTTCTATAACCTTTTAAAAGATCTCACCAGTGAAAAAACACATAACAATATGATAAAAAGGGTACGTAAACACAGGGTAAGGCTATGGTAGGAAACTGTATTCCCATCAAACTTAATCATTAATTTTGAATTGGATAATCTACAATTATTGATTCAAAAAATGATAAAGCAATGAAAAAGCGTTCAAAAAATTTTGTGCAGGTGTCGTGTTCTTATTGGTTGCAAAGTAGAATTGCAGTGCCCAATAAAAACTTTTCAAAATTGTAATGAGACTCTAAAAATATGTCAATTATCGATTGTGTTCAAATCAATAAATAACCTAGGAAAACATTGTATATGTGGTTCAAAAAGGTGAAAACCTTGATTCTTAAAAAAAAAAAAAAAATTTGGTGGAATCAATCAATATACTATTGCGACTTTTCAACTTTGTTTCCTCTAATAGCGGAATTTCTAATTTACTTCTCAATCTATCATAGTGTATATGAAAATGTTTTTAATATAGAAGCATGTTTACTAAGCAAACATTTACATGAAAAAGTTTACACACCAATCACCCTTTTGTATACATTAGTTGATGCACAAGTACTTCGCACGTGAGCGATTTTGAAGAATTGTTCTCATGAATGCCCACATTACAAAATTCTTTTATTATTTCTTGATTAGTTTTTATTTTTTTCCAATATTCCCAAACTATTTTTCCGAAACCAATAAAAAAACTTACTATACACTTTCCAAGTGAATGCTTCCTAGACCTGTGAGCCTTTTTCAAGCAATCCAAGTTTTAATTGCTAGTTTCTAGTGTTGTCTACAAAATCAATTTGAATTAGTTATTATTATAAATTAAACAACGTGATTGCAAAAACCATTGCATGATTTTAAATTATTTACTTATTAAAATACAGGATTGTAACTTCTTATAGTTATCTTGGCTATTTAGTCTTTAGCATTACATGATAATCCTATAAAATCATCCACATTAGAGTCAAATCAACGCTAATATAATTGTTGTTCTTTTTTTTTTTTCCCTCTATTTTCTAATGCTAGCATATTAGTCATTGATATCCTTTACACTATGAGCACATGGAGACATATCATATTGAATTTTATGATTAAGGTGTTTCTTAGCCTGGTGATAAAAGTAGAGCTACTAAAGAGTGGGAAAAAAAAAATAATTTGAGCAAAACTATTAACAATCGCACCATTAAAATAATAACAAAGAAAAAACTCCTTCAAAAAGAATATAGATAGTTTCCTTCCAAGCCTTTTTTTCATAGTCAAAATTTTTTTATCAAGGATGCTAAAAGAGCAGCCATCCATAATATAAAAATGATGTAAACATTGTTAATGGATTATTGAACTTACGGTACAATACTAATGAGTTGAACCAATACCATATTCCCTCCCTTGGCCATAAAAAGAAGGAAAGCAAAAAATAAAGTACTCTTCCAAGAAAAGAGCCTTGGATGTGACCCAAAATTTCGTAAAAATTAATCCATAATCATAAAACATCCTACGCACGTGTTAAACATCTTTCACTTGAGAGCTTAGGTTTAAAAAACTAAACTAAGGAATCCATTGATAAGTGAATATATACAAGATTGAAGTCTTACACTGCTCTTTTCATCCAATATAATTCTTGGTATTGGACATATATTCCCGAACAACTTTGTGCTTATCTTAGTTAAATTTGTTAGTTTTAAAATTCTTTCAAGATTTTATTTCATCGTGATAGTTTGGATATATGATATAGTATTCTAAAGGTAAGATCAAAAGATAAGAGGGTACANCAATTTGAATTAGTTATTATTATAAATTAAACAACGTGATTGCAAAAACCATTGCATGATTTTAAATTATTTACTTATTAAAATACAGGATTGTAACTTCTTATAGTTATCTTGGCTATTTAGTCTTTAGCATTACATGATAATCCTATAAAATCATCCACATTAGAGTCAAATCAACGCTAATATAATTGTTGTTCTTTTTTTTTTTCCCTCTATTTTCTAATGCTAGCATATTAGTCATTGATATCCTTTACACTATGAGCACATGGAGACATATCATATTGAATTTTATGATTAAGGTGTTTCTTAGCCTGGTGATAAAAGTAGAGCTACTAAAGAGTGGGAAAAAAAAAATAATTTGAGCAAAACTATTAACAATCGCACCATTAAAATAATAACAAAGAAAAAACTCCTTCAAAAAGAATATAGATAGTTTCCTTCCAAGCCTTTTTTTCATAGTCAAAATTTTTTTATCAAGGATGCTAAAAGAGCAGCCATCCATAATATAAAAATGATGTAAACATTGTTAATGGATTATTGAACTTACGGTACAATACTAATGAGTTGAACCAATACCATATTCCCTCCCTTGGCCATAAAAAGAAGGAAAGCAAAAAATAAAGTACTCTTCCAAGAAAAGAGCCTTGGATGTGACCCAAAATTTCGTAAAAATTAATCCATAATCATAAAACATCCTACGCACGTGTTAAACATCTTTCACTTGAGAGCTTAGGTTTAAAAAACTAAACTAAGGAATCCATTGATAAGTGAATATATACAAGATTGAAGTCTTACACTGCTCTTTTCATCCAATATAATTCTTGGTATTGGACATATATTCCCGAACAACTTTGTGCTTATCTTAGTTAAATTTGTTAGTTTTAAAATTCTTTCAAGATTTTATTTCATCGTGATATTTGGATATATGATATAGTATTCTAAAGGTAAGATCAAAAGATACGAGGGTATANAAAAGTAGAGCTACTAAAGAGTGGGAAAAAAAAAATAATTTGAGCAAAACTATTAACAATCGCACCATTAAAATAATAACAAAGAAAAAACTCCTTCAAAAAGAATATAGATAGTTTCCTTCCAAGCCTTTTTTTCATAGTCAAAATTTTTTTATCAAGGATGCTAAAAGAGCAGCCATCCATAATATAAAAATGATGTAAACATCGTTAATGGATTATTGAACTTACGGTACAATACTAATGAGTTGAACCAATACCATATTCCCTCCCTTGGCCATAAAAAGAAGGAAAGCAAAAAATAAAGTACTCTTCCAAGAAAAGAGCCTTGGATGTGACCCAAAATTTCGTAAAAATTAATCCATAATCATAAAACATCCTACGCACGTGTTAAACATCTTTCACTTGAGAGCTTAGGTTTAAAAAACTAAACTAAGGAATCCATTGATAAGTGAATATATACAAGATTGAAGTCTTACACTGCTCTTTTCATCCAATATAATTCTTGGTATTGGACATATATTCCCGAACAACTTTGTGCTTATCTTAGTTAAATTTGTTAGTTTTAAAATTCTTTCAAGATTTTATTTCATCGTGATAGTTTGGATATATGATATAGTATTCTAAAGGTAAGATCAAAAGATACGAGGGTACATGATTGACATTGAAAATAAATTATATTGGATCAAATAATTTTTTCACTAAGTAGGTTCAAATTATTTGAGTTTTAATTGTTTTTATTTTATATCTATTCTAAATTCCATATCGTCATGCGAAGAAGAAGTCAATGGACAAGGATAACCATACCTTTTTCCTTTAAGCAACAACAAAGTGGGGAAGGGGCAATAGAGAAGACAAAGGTATGCACACCACAAAGTTAACCTAGTAAAATTAACCAAATTTAAAAAAAATGAGACACACGAGATGCAGATATTCTATTAAAAAAATAATCATTTTAAGATATCATCCATTAGAAAAACAATTATTTTAAAATATTTATAATCATTTTAACTGTTAGATGTTAAATTATCTATAATTATTTTAAACGTTCATATCGTCTATTAAAAAAATTATTATTTTAAAATATTTATAATATAAAATAAGGCGAATTCAACCTTCAAAAATCTCAAATCAATTCTGATGGTCACAGATCTTCTTATTTTTCCCCTAAATTCATGATTTTCGCCCCCCACAATTTTTTTCAAAAATCTGATCAAACCAATCACTCCACCTTTTGTTACCTTTTTTTGAAAAAATAACTCAGAAATGTGGAATACTCTTCATGTTTGGCTGGTAGTGGTATTCCACTTGGTTCTCCGTG